GGGCCATAAAAGCGGGAGCTCAGAGCCGGGAGCTGGGCTCAGCAGCTCCCCTGCGAGCGGCCTTTAGCTCTCGGCCTGCTGACAAAGGGAGGTCACGGCCGGAACAAACCGTCCCTGCTCAGCAAATGTTTGCCCGCGCGGAGCTGAGTTGTGCTGATGGCCGCAGCAGAAAAGTGGAAATTTTTAAAAAAACAGCAGATTTGGGGAGGATGGGTCGGCCCGTGCAAGGGCTCGTGCTAAAACATCACAGGTGCTGCCCTGGATAGTCAGCAGCCTCTGTAGGTGCTGAAATGTTTTGTGCCAGCAAGGCCCAAAACCACTCTACAAAAAAAGTACAATTTCAGAAATTCTGAATTCCCAGCTTTTGCTTTATCTTTGCATGTCTGGGTTCCCCCTGCGCTTCCTCAGCTGCGACTTCAAATGGCTGGGTGAGGAAGCAGATGAAGCAAACACACTTAGAGAAAGGACACTGTAAACTGGGCTGTCTTAAAATTAGAATTGTGGCCTAGAGTTTCACTCACTTGGTATCAGAGGTGTATTTTAAATCACTTTTAATTGGTTTTCGTTCTGGTTTGTGTTTTTGTTTGGTTTGGTTTGGTTGTTTTAAATTGTTATAGTTACAGCTCGGCCCAGTCTAAGCAGAACATGCTCTAAAGGAATGGGAATAAAGAGTGCTGAGACCTCACTCTGCTCCCTGGACACAGGCAGGACGTCGCTTCCCATCCTCGTGCCAAAAAAACAGCAACAAAAAGGGTCAGAACGAGGCTGGCGCCGCTGAGCACGGCACAGACTAAGCAGAACTGGCTCCAAAAGCGACGTTTCCGTGGCGGTCGGTCAGGTGCTCCGAATTATTTTGCTGGGAGAAGGCTGGGGACAGATGGGAGCTGCAGCAAACGCAGCACAAGCGGTTTCTGTGTGCAGAGGTTACTAGAACCCAATCTCCCCAGTTATCAGAAGGAATCATCACTCAAGGCCACCTCTGAAGCATTTGTCTCATTTATTATTGGCACCGCCTAGAAATATAACTGTAAAACGTATCTCGGCATTGGTTTGATTGGTCCTTGGAAAGGTGATTACTAAATCTGCTGGGGTTTTTTAAAAAAAAATAAAACCAAAGTCCGTTGGCTGCTGCCAGACCCGGTGGAAGAGCTCCACCCGGTGGCACTCCATGAAGGCACAGCCGGAGGCTCAGCTCTGCTTCTGATTCACCCAGGAAGCCTCAACTTCCAACATTTCTCCTTAAATGAGCGACAGCCTGGAAGGAAGCTTTGCGAGGTGCTGCTCATCGTTGCTATTTCTTTCCCTCTCCACTTCTAAAGAAACAAAACCATCAAGAGCAAAGCAACCGTGTGCTCCCAGGGCATCCGCTCTGGGCTCAAACACCAAAACATCTGAGAGAGAAACCTCCAAGGAACAGGTCACCTGGCTGAGGTAAGGCACCGAGCCTGGGGCTCCAGCTCACAGGATCCAGCCCTCAGAAGTTGTGTGTGATGGAACCACGGCTGCTTCTCCACCTAGCACTGACTTTGTGCTCTTTGAAGTGACAGCGAAGAGTGGAGGTGGCATTTGTGGCATTTTGGGGCAGAGGAAGAAAGGATGAAGTGACTTTTCCCCCCCCTCTTTTACCCATCTTAGGAGATGTCTTGATTTTCAGAGGATTCACGTGAAATATTTCTCTGATGAAGAGTGATAAAAATTATTGACTGCCACTAATCCTCTCTGTAGCAGACACCTTAACTACAATCCCAATTACAGGAGGCATGAAATTACAACCATCAACACCCAGCAAACTTTAAATACGCCCTGCCTCACTAAAGGTGTTTTTACCATGTAAAAACGGGGCTCCTGAAGCTCAGGAGTTTAGACAGCATCAGAATTTCCTCCTCTGGATGCCTGGTAGATACCAATCAGGGAAGATATGGTCCCCAGGAGACCCACTAACCAGGGAGGGAATCGTCCAGCCCAAAGAAATCCTGGGGGCAGCCAGTGGATTGCATTGCAGAGATCTGCTGAGTGCATGAGGATGCTCAAAACTTCAGCCTTCACTTGGGCTTTTGTTTCCTTTTGACTCAGATGTGAGGATGTACTGCTGGAAGCAAAGGAAACATTAGTGATAGCCTATAATGTAATAATAATTAGTGATAGCTTACAGCAATGAGGCAAGGTGGCCAAGAAGGCCACCACCATCCTGGCTTGTCAGCACTAGTGTGGCCAGCAGGACCAGGGCAAGGATCATCTGCCTGGACTCAGCACTCATGAGGCTACCCCACAAATCCTGGGGTCAGGTTTGGACACTTCCCTCCAAGAAGGACCTTGAGGATCTGGAGTGTGGCCAGAGAAGGGCAACAGAGCTGGGGAAGGGTCTAGAGGCCAAGTGTGGGGAGGAGCAGCTGAGGGAGCTGGGGGGGCTGAGCCTGGAGCAAAGGAGGCTCAGGGGAGACCTTCTGGCTCTGCACAGCTCCTGACAGGAGCCTGGAGCCAGGGGGGGGTCGGGCTCTGCTCCCAAGGAACAAGGGACAGGAGAAGAGGAACCAGCCTCAAGTTGCCCCAGGGGAGGTTGAGGTTGGCCCTGAGGAACAATTTCTTGCCCTGGAGGGTTGCCCAGGGCTGTGCCAGGCTGCCCAGGGCAGTGGTGGAGTCCCCACCCCTGGAGGGGTTCCCAAGCTGTGGAGATGTGGTGTGAGGGACACGGGGCAGTGGGGACCTGGTAGTGCTGGGGGATGATTGGACCTGATGAGCTTTAAGTTCTCATCCAAGTGATTCTGTGATTCTGCATGAGAATAGACACATTTGAGTTAAACTGAAGGACAGAAATCATACCACTTGTGCTGCCTCAGCTTTCTTCTTAACAGGAACAAGACTCTCAGGGATCTGAAAACAAGACATCAGAGTTACTTCTCCAGCATCACAGGGGAGAGTTTTTCTCTCCCATTAGCTGTATCTGTGATGAAGATCAGGCTCCCGCGAGGGTCCCTCGTTTTCACCCGATTCCAGGGACTCATCCCGGCCCTCCTCCCCGGCGCCTCACCGCAGGATGCCC